CAGGGTGATATTTGCTTCATAGAAACTGTTTGGAAGTGGTTTTGATATTTCAATTTCATGGAAAAGCTTAAAGAGGATTGGGAGTAAGTCCTTTTTAAAGATTTGGAAGAATCCACTTGTGAATCCATCTGGGCCAGGACTTTTGTGCTTGGGGAGACTTTTTATTACCATTTCAATCTTCTTGATGGTGATAGGTCTGTTCAGGTATTCCAGGTCTTCTTGGTTCAGCCTTGGGAGGCTATAGGAATCTAGGAATTTATCCATTTCCTCGAACTTTTCATGTTTCCTGGCATAAAGCTTTTCAAAGTACTCCCTGAGGAGCCTTTGAATTTCTGTAGTTTCTGTTGTAATGACCCCTTTTTCATTTCTGATTCAGTTTATTAGGGTTTTCTCTCTCCCTTTTGTTGTGAGTTTTGCTAAAGGCTTATCGATCTTGTTTATTTTCTCGAAGAACCAGCTCTTGGTTTCATTGATCTTTAGGATTGTTTTTTGGGTTTCCATCTTGTTAATCTCTGCTCTGAGTTTTATTATTTCCTTCCTCCTGTTCAGATTGGGCTCCTTTTGTTGATCATTCTCCAAGTTCTTAAGCTATGAGGTTAGGTTACTTATGTGGGCTCACTCCTCCTTCCTGAGGAATGCTTGTAAAGCTATAAACTTTTCTCTTAACACAGCTTTTGCTGTATCCCATAAGTTTTGGTAACTCGTGTCCTCATTTTTGTTCATTTCCAGAAATCCTTTGATTTCCTCTTTGATTTCCTTTCTAAGCCACTCGTTGTCCATTAGTGAGCTGTTTAATTTCCAGGTGTTTGATTTTGTTTTCTGTTTGTGTGTGTGATTTACTTCTAATTTCAGCACATTGTGGTCTGAGAAGATTGTTGATACAGTTTCTATCTTCTTAATTTTATGGAGGTATGCATTGTGGCTCAGCATGTGGTCTATCTTGGAGAATGTTCCATGCACACTTGAGAAGAATGTGTATTCAGCTTTTTGAGGATGAAGTGCCCTGTATATATCTACTAAGTCCCTTTCTTCCATTTTTTCCCTCAGATAAGGTATGTCCTTGCTAAGCTTGAGTCTGGTTGATCTATCAAGAGGTGAAAAAGCGTTGTTGAAGTCCCACACTAGTATTGTTTTGTTATCGATGCCTTTCTCCAAGTTTATGAGTAGTTGTTTTAAGTACTTTGCTGGTCCCTCATTAGGGGCATATACATTGAGTATTGTAAGTTCTTCCTGTCATACAGATCTATTGATCAATAAGAAATGGCCATCACTGTCTCTTGTGACCTTCAGTCTGAAATCAACGTGGTCTGATACTAGGATGGCTACCCCAGCTTTTTTATGGCAGTTGTTTGCCTGTAGGATTGTTTTATGCCTTTGACTCTGAGCCTGTGTTTGCATTGACTATTGACATGTGTTTCTTGCAGGAAGCAGAATGTTGGGTTCAATTTTCTAATTCATCCTGCCACTCTGTGTCTTTTCATTGGTGCATTTACCCCATTGACCTTGAGAGAGATTATTGTTATGGGGTTTTGTCCCATTTTTCTGTTGAAATTTGGTGTATTTGAGGGGTCTGTCTTATCTTAAAGTAGCCCATTTAGTTGCTCTTATAACCATGGTTTTGAGTCTATAAAATTCCTGAGCTGTTGTTTGTCTGTGAAACTGTGATTTGTTCCTTCTGTTATGAATGAGAGTCTTACTGCGTCAAGTATTTTTGGTGAGGCATTTATTTCATTGAGTTTTTTCACTATATTCCACCACTGTTTTCGGGCCATGAGGGTTTCATCAGACAAATCAGCTGTGAATATTAAGGATGCCCCTTTATAGAAAATTTCTTTCTTTGATCTTGCTGCTTTCAGAATTTTGTCTCTATCTAAGGTTTTGGTCATTTTGATCAGGATGTGTCTTGGGATATTTTTATTCGGATTTCTTCTAGCTGGTACCCTTCAGGCCTCCTGAATGTGGTCACATGTTTTCTTAGGCTCTGGAAACATCGTATCAATGATGTCTTTGACATTTTCTTCTTCATCAGGGTTTTCTTCCTGTCCCTCTGGGACTCCAATAATTCTTATGTTACTTCTCTTGGCTTCATCATGATCTTCTCTTGCCATCTGTTCCCGAATTGTGAGTCTCTTTTCCATTTTCTGCTCTTTTCTGGAGAGTCTCTGGACTTCATCATCAAGCTCACTAATTCTGTCCTCAGCAGCTGTTATTCTGCTGCTGAGGCCTTCCACTGAGTTTTTCAATTGTCTACCAGGTTTTTCAGGTCTGACATTTCCGTTTGTAATTTTATTTGCATTTCCTCATTTCTACCTTCAAATCCTCTTGTCTTTTATTGTCATTGCTTTTCATTGTTTCTTTTATGTCCCTGAGCATCCTCAGTAGCCCCCTTCTAAATTCCTTGTCAGAGAGGTTGTCTAACACTTCATTACTGTTGGTGTCTTCTGAGCTATCCTCTTCAATAAGTAAGCTTGGTGGGCTTTGCGTTGCTTTACCTGTGTGGTTTAGACCTTCACACACTATTATACTTAAGATGCAGAATTAATTGAGATGGGCTTAATGATTTATTGGCTAATGTGTTTCTGGTGGTTAAGCTAACCTAGTGAAAGTTCCATCAGAGGGTAACTTATGGTTCCTATGCGATATGTAGGGGGAGACTAACTCGCAGCTGCATTAGCGGCCACAGAACTGGGAAGGGGCTCTGCCACTCGGCGGGTACCTAGATTTGTTAGCAGAGGGTGCCTGGAACGGTTCAGCTTTGGGTGCGTGTGGTGTGTCTCAATTCCCTTCCCTCGCAGACCAAGGATAAAAACAGCCATTCTCAGGGGGTCTAATTAGTTGTGCAGCCCTGGGAAGGGGCTCTGCTGCTGGGCGGGTACCTGGATGAGTCCCTAACAAGTATTTTTAAGCAGATTTTATTACTTGCTTTGTCCGAGTGTATTTTTATATTTTTTATTGTTGTTGTTACTGTTGAGTCACTTGACCTATATAAAATCCAAACTAGATCTTCTCTGTGTCTTGAGATTATAGAAGTAATCAAACAAAAGACGGATATCAAGTGCTTTAAATATGGCAAGATACTAAAGAGAATAAATTGATAGTTTTCTTATATGTATCCACAGTTTGAATTAGTCAAGTTTGATAAGATCTACAAGAGATAGTGGATTAGATACTGGCAGTGGTCGCTGAGGAAGTTAGTGGTGGAAATCATTCCAGATGTCTTTAAACTAGAGGTATCACTGTCATTGTCAACTGCCGTCCCGTTGTTCATTGATTTGCTTGAGCAGGAACCAGTAACATCTCCATTCGTCCTAGTCCAGAGATTTTAGCAGCCTCTTCTTATTCGCCCTTCCCAATGCTGCCATATTGGAGGCTCTCTCAGGGTCAGGGGAATGAAGCCTGTTTTAGTTACTGGTTTAGGCATATCGAATACATCATGTTGCATGCCAGGCTCTGTCGTGGGAACTAAGGGTATATCTCTAAAAAATGACATGATTGAGAATAGAACAGCTAGGTAATAATTGTTTTAGGATTGGGGCTGGAGCACTCGTACTGCAGGTAGGGCATCTGCTTTGCGTGTGGTTGACCTAGGTTCAATCCTCAGCAGCCCAAAGAGTCCCCTGAGCACCACCAGGCATAATTCCTGAGTGCAGAGACAGGAGTGACTCCTGAGCATTTCCAGGTGTAAACCAAAAAGTAATAATAATTGTTTTAGGATTTCTATCAATGGCAGAGATAAACTACTGCCCGTGAATGTTATGTTTCAAACAATCAAGCACAATTTCTATAAAGTTGAGGGTTGAATTGCCAGGTAGATGGCTCTGTATTCAGGGTCGCAAGTCCTGCAGGTACCAGGACCTGCATTTGAACCATAGCACTACGAGTCACACCTCAACATGCCTGCTGTAGTCCTGGAGGCCTTTGGGTACCACCAGGTTTGCCCTGGTAACTCTCAACATTGCCCTACAAGAGCAGCTGTTGCATCATTTGAGGATTGAAATTTTGGGCCTGTGGGCTGGCTGAGTATCACCAAGAGTGAAACTGGAGTTCCCACCAAAAAAAGTTAGACATTGCTATTGCTTAAATTGTGCATCAGCCAAAAATTTTACTACGAAACAATGTGGCAAATAGGACCTCAGAAATATTACACTAAATGAGAACCAGAGGGGAGAATTCCAATCCAACTGAAATAATGACTTTATAAGAAAGAGATATCTGAGTTGTTACCTCCACCCTTGTATAAGATTCTGGGTAAGATTACATATGTTCACAGAGTTGAGGCAGCAGCCTGAATGCCATAAGAAGGTAACTCACTGCAATCTGATAATACTTGCACCTTCGTTCATTCTCACAACCTCTTGTATGGTGAGAAAATTAATTTCTACCTTGTAAGCCACCCAGTCAATCATATTTGTTATGGCATCTCTAGCAGAGATTTTTTAAAAAACAAACAAACAATAATTAGTTTTGAAGTTTTAAATAGAACCTGTAGAGATTGCATTACAGGTGCATTTTTTAAAACCATTGTGATCATTAGAAATTAAGTGCTCTGACTTAAGCTTGTTCTATGTTTTATTTTATTCTTTCATTGTACAAAAATTTAAAGATAAAGAATAGCAAAAACATCTACTTATTTCTGTTTTTCTCCCCCTCCCTAAACACTGCTGTTAGTAGGTGAGCAATGTACCATGGAAAATCCTTCAGAGCCATTGACCAAGAAATAGAAATCAGGACAGACTCTGTTCTCTGTTCAAGGTCTGAGACATTATAATCCCATCATTATTACCACTTTCCACTAAAATCTAGTAACCAAAAAGAATCAACCTAAAAATTAGCGTGATATATATATATAAACACACACACATATATATACATATACACATATATATAATTTAAAAAGATAACTAGATATTCTCTCCTTTTTCCCTCATTCTTTTCTTATCTTTGGAATATTGGGAGAATATTATAGAAGTGATTATTATTTGTAAAACATTTCCAAATCTGTGCTCTCTTCGGCAGCACATATACTAAAATTGGAACGATATAGAGAAGATTACCATGGTCTCTACACAAGGATGACATGCAAATTCGTGAAGCATTCCATATTTTAAAGCAACCAGTGTTGGCACGGATATGGCGAGAAAGGGACCCTCCTTCACTGCTGGTGGGAATGTCTACTGGTTCAGCCCTTTTGGAAAACAGTATGGACGATTCTCAAAAAATTAGAAATTGAGGTCCTATTGACCCAGCAATACCACTCCTGGGAATATACCCCGGAGAGGCAAAAAAAATATAGTCAAAGTGACATCTGCACTTGTTCGTTCATTGCAGCACTGTTTACAATAGCCAAAATCTGGAAAAAACCTGAATGCCTGAGAACAGATGACTGGTTAAAGAAACTTTGGTACATCTATAGAATGGAGTACTATGTAGCTGTTAGAAAGGATGAAGTCATGAAATTTACATACAAGTTGTACTACATGGAAAGTATCATGCTAAGCGAAATGAGTCAGGAAGAGAGGGACAGACATAGTAAGATTGCATTCATCTGGGGAACATAAAGTAAAAAATATGAGACTAACACCCAAGAATAGCCAAGATAAATACCAGGAGGTTTACTCCATGGATTGGAGGCCAGCCATACAACTCTAGGAGTAAAGGCAGCTCAGATAGAGAAGAGAGCACCAAATAAAGGGTGTTGGGAAGATCAACCCAGGATGGGAGATGCATGCTGAAAGTAGTCTATAGACCAAACATGATTGCCACTCAATTCCTCTTTTGCAAACCACAGCACCCAAAAGGAGAGAGAGAAAAAAAGGGAAAGACCTGCCACAGAGGCAAGGTGGGATGGGGAGGTGGGGGTGGGAGGGATACTGGGATTAGTGGTGGTGGATAATGGGTGGTGGAGGAATGGGTACTCGATCAATTTATAACTGAAACCCAAGCACAAAAAATTGTAAGTCTACAACTGTACCTCATTGTGTTTCACTAATAAAAATTTAAAAAAATAAAATAAAATAAAGTAAAAATCAACTTCCTTGCAAAAAAAAATTTTCAAATCTGTAACTCTTACGACTACTATTAGTGTTTATATAGAGGTAGGTGACAAATTGACAAACAGAACATCCAAATGAGCATTCTCTTATGTGACTCATTGTAAATCTCTGGGAAGGGGGCTTTAAGGAGATACAGACTTAATAGAATCATTGGGTTAAGTGTACATGCTTTAATTCATAAAACACTTTGGAATTGTTCTTTAAAATGCAGAACCAGCTCCTACTGAGAATTGAGTCAAGGTTCATCTCTGTCTTAATTTCTTTTTATCGTCTTTTAACACGTACTGTTAATCAGCATATATGTTTTTGACAATCTAATGTTTATTGAGTATCTCACTATTGCTTTAATTTGAATTTCTACTTTATAATGAGTATAAGTATCTCATAAGTTATTTACTTTCCTACTCCTCTTTAGCTCAATAGTTTTTGCTTTGATATGAAGCTTCATGCATGAGCTTAGCAGAGATAGAAAGAGATATGAATCAGAAAAATCTTCTCTCAGTCTGTGGCCCATCACCTTTGTTGAACAGAAATCTTTAATATTTATTAAATTCTATTAATTTCCCTTATGAGCTATGAATTTTCCAGGTAAAGAAAATATTCTTTCAAGCAATACCACAAAGTACAAATAAATCTATATGTTGTCTTTCATTTTTATAACTCAAAATCTCTGATATTTACTTGGTTTATTAGATAATCATAAAATCATAACTTTCTATCCTTTTATTGTTATTGAGGATGTTGGAAGGAAGATCAGAGAGTTAATAAGTAGATTTTTGTTGTTGTTTTGTTTCAAGATTTTTTGATGCTGGGAATCAGACTCAGGGTCTCAAGCATGCATAATATATACTCTACTATTGAGCTACATTTCTGGCCCTTGACTTATCCATAGTGAATTAATTTCCTCACAAAAGTCTTTAAATATTGGTATTTCACATTTTCATTTTCATTTCATCATCCTGTTATTTGTCGATTGCCTCGAGCAGGCCCCAGTAACGTCTCTTTCATATTATATATGTGTGCGTGTGTGTGTGTTTAAGATTCATTGCTCTGCATATCTAATCATTTCTTCCTACTAAATTACTTTACTATTGACTTTAAAAGTGCTTTAATATGCAGTACACTGAGATCCCCAGGAAAGTGTTGTTTTTAAGACTATTATTTATAACTATTTATGTATTTGCTCAATTTATGTATATTTATTAATCAACATGAATTTTAACCAGTTGGTATAATCCTACCAAACTCCTACTGGGTTATTATGGGGATGAGGCTGAATACATACATTAATATTGAGAAAATTTACATCTTTAAACTATTAAGTCTTCCCATCTTAAAAATTGTTCTCTTTATTGGAAATTGTGTAATATCCTTCACTAAAGTTAACAAAATCTTGATAAATATCTTATGTACTTTTTCTTAGTTCTAAAATTCTACTCCTCTCTTACTTGCCAGTCAATAAAATGTTTTAGTTTTATTTTTGTAGAATATGAGTTTTTCATTCGTGGTCATTATTTACTCAATAATAAACTTTAATGTTTTATACTTGTCCTGATACCACTATTTCATTGATTTCTCCTGATTTTTTTCTCTACTTCCTGGTTTGATTTCTTCAAATTTCATTCAAAAATGGAAAACAACTAGTCATATAAATTTTTTAAATTTTATCCTTTCATTTAAGTAAAACTTAATGAGAGATGGTGGTGGAAAATGGGCACTGGTGGGGGGGATGGGTATTTGATCATTGTATAATTGAAACCCAAGCACAAAAATGTGTAAATCTACAACTGTACCTCATGGTGTTTCACTAATAAAAATTGGAAAAAAATTTTTAAAAAAACTTAATGAGAGAGATTGGAGCAATAATACAATGGATAAGGTACTCACCTTGCACACTGCCTACCTAAGTTCCATACTGGTATCCCAACGGTCCCCATCCTACCATGTCTGATCCCTAAGTGCAGAGCCAGAAGTTACCCCTGATCACTGCTGAGTGTGGCTCCAAAATAAAAATAAATAAATAAATAAAGCTTAGCTACATTACAAAATATAAAAAACAGTGTTTTTATATTATTTTATATTATTATTACTTTACATTATTTTATATTATTACTTAATAATATTATTAAATTATTTTCCTCAAACTGAAACACTTTATTTCCTTTATATTCTTTCATCCAATGTAGCTATTTAAAAACCTCGTTTTATTATAATTCTAACTTTGAAAATAAATTTTGATATTGAGTATTTTTAGCCTAAATGTATTCCAACATGACAGATTTATTTCACTTGCATTACACTATACTCTATACTCAATAATCTCTATAATAATACACTTAATATACTTTACACTCAAATGTGAATTCTGATATTTTCTTTAAATCTGAGATTTCTTGGACGTTTTATATTTTTCTACTTACTAGATGTTGTTTATTGGTTCTGTTTGCAATATTTTTTCATAAAATTTGAGTTTTATAATAGTTTTGGATATTTTTTAACCATCATTCTTACCTTAGGGTTGCCATATTCCTTCATTTATGATTTTTTCAAATGGCAACATGGATTTTTTCAATCCTCAAGTGAACTTTGAAGAATTACTAGTACATGTCCTACTCATGTTTGTTAGTAAAAGTACTTATTTGATGGTTATTTTATGCTTTCTCATTAGAATATAAACACTATGAGAGTAGGACTTTGTCTATCCAAAGTTATATTTATTGTTCCAAAATTTAACATTTGTCTTATATCACATACCCAAGAAATGAGTATTTATGAATGAAAGTACAAATGATTACTTGTATTAGCTAGAACAGAGTAGGTCATAATGTCAAAATAGATTTAATAGATAAAATCATCTTAATGGTTTAGAACCTGTTTATTATTGGACACTAAAGAGATGTGTTCTACTCCATTCTCACCCAAGTATATAGGCTGATAACAAGCTCATCATCCAGAGTGAGTTTTTGCAGAATAGAAGAAAGGGGAAACAAGCAAGATGAGAAAAGTAGACAGGGGCTATATAAAGTGACCATTGAAGCCAAGATACCTATCTTGGACTTTATTTCCAATGTGAGTTAATCTGATGGAAAACTTTAAAAAGAGGAGGAATTTAATGATTTGATTTACCTGATTGCTCTAATTGCTGTGAGGAACATTCCCAAAACTGCTAAAGAGAGTCAGCAGCCTTTCAAGTCAGGAATAATGGTGACTTAGAGAGAAGTATGATTGTGAGGAATAAAAGCAGATAACTTTGGTATATGTCCTGCAAGTAGAGTTGACAGAAATTATGATATAGCTAGATAGTGGGGGAATAAAATAAAACAAGTGTCACATCGAAATTCTTTCTTGAACCCCTGATGTATGCTGTTATACTTTGCTGTTAAGGGACAGCCCAGGAATAAGTTTGTGGTCAGAAGTCAAGAATTCTGCTTTGAAGCCCAAGTTGAGAGTCTCTGAGTCATTTAAATGTAGAAGTCAAAAAACCAGAGAAGGTCACGATAGAAGTAATAGATTTGGGATTCATTATCATATAGATGATAGCCGGTAGCAAAGGGACTCTCTAAGATTGTCTAAGGAGGGAGCAAAAATACAGAGGAGAAAGAGCCTAGAATTATAATGTGGATATTCAACAGAGGAAAAGGAGCTAGCAAAGGAGACTACAAAGAAAGCAGCTGTGGAAGTCAAAGGAGTGAGTGATGTTAAGAAAAAAACCAAAAGCAGTGCTTTTCCAAGTAAAGAATTGTGACATATGGCACAATCCATTCTGGGGTAACTGCATCCCAGTTTGGGGTAAATAATTTTTTCCTTCAATTTAGGGGATTCTCTTGCTTGATCATTCACTCTTTATCACTGTCCTTTATCATATTTCCTAAACAAAGCTACTTACTTTATTTAAAAAGTAAGGTGAAGTGTTTTTAAAAGATCATAAGAAAACAAAATAGCTATTGATGATTTTTTAAAAAAATTTTTTTGACCATTGATGATTTTTAAAGAGAAATTTTGAGTATAGTAGGTATAAAATTCAATGGAAAAGGTAGTGTGCTAAAAGGAGGTG